TTACTTGTCTGGTAAGCATATTTTAGTTCCACATTCCTTTCATATTTTTATGTTCACTTGGGTGTTTACTGCACATAAACCACACAAGAATATTAATCATCAGTGTGTTATTAGTTTTCCAATGATACCTTTCATGACACATCAGATACAATTTATGACATCAATGAACTGGGTACGCTGAACTGGTCAGACCAGCTGAAAGTCACTACCAGATACCAGCGAGCCCTTTGCCCTCTTGCATTCGGATGCTGTTAGGGTCACATCCACTCACCAATCCATAAAAATACAAACAAGCAGATAAATAACCAACACTATAAGTAGGCTTGTAAGGATTAGAATTTTATCAGTAAAAGTCAATCAACATGGATTTCACTGCACCCATGCAAACTGGCAAAAATATTTCCATTGATAATCAAAATTTACAGATAGGCAAAGTAATAAATGCTACTTGAGAACTTTAGAGCTTGATTTAAGAATATTTACTTTGTGTATTTTGACATGTGATGTTGAAAATGTGTGTGAATAGTTTTAAAGCTTCAACATTTTGAATCTCAACATATACTGTCATTAAATAATTATTGCCTGATTTTTCTGCCCTCCCCATCTCAACTCCCCCCCATAATTTCCTGCAACTATGGAAATTTAAATTTAAATAAAAATGCCCCAAAATAAACAAATATCAGTCAAAATGATAAAAAAATAAAAACTGAATTCTGGCAAGCCTAACTAATAAACTAATCAAGCTATTTCTCCTAGATCCTGGGAGAGACTAACACATGGAAGGCACTCAGACACTATAGCAAGGAGGGGGCTATCTAGAGAGCAATGAAATAGTTAACATTAACAATTAAGGCTCCAAACTAGTAAACACTTACATACATGCTTGACTTTAAGCATGAGTCATTCCACTGAAGTTCCTCTGTGTGCATGTGTGTAGAAATTATTGAAGTCAATGAGATTACACATGTGTTGCAAGATCAGGACCTAAATCATCATAACTAGGCTTTAGATTTAATTTAACATTTAAATGATGAGGAACAACTCACAGCACGCAGAGCTATCATTTCTGATTGTCTGCAGATGCAGGCAGACATCACTGTGTCCATTTATACTCCGTTCACATATCTTCATAATTGTAAAGTCTAGATACTTTTTTATTTAAATAAAAGTTTCCACAGCACAAGCAGGTATCCTCCAAAGAAAAGTACTAGTTTGCCATGCCATTGTAAGGCACCTTGACTAAAACTATTCTGTGACCTTGGCTACTGCATTTGCTACCAAGTACATACTATAAATTTGTGCTGTATAGCTGCTTTCATCCAATGATTTCAGAGTGCTATACAAACATTAATCTTTATTATAACCTGGTCAAATATTATCTGTTGTTACCAATACCAAGTAAAGTACAAAGACTTGCCCCATACCGTACTAGCTGAAAATAGAAGCTAAGACTTGTGAACCCTGCTTCCCACTCATTGACTCATGCTGCCTGACTTCAGTTACAATGTTTATATAAGTTTAATAATGATTAGGTTTAACATTAAGCCTGTTGTTTTGCTTTTATGGGTGTGTAATGCCTAATATAAGTCTCTCCCTCCCCCTAATTACTCACCTCCACATGAGGGAGGTGAAATTTAGTGTACATATGTTGGATTAAATTAATGCTTGTGTGGCACTTTGAAAATGTAAAGCACAATATAAATGCTAGTTAATCATTATTATGGTCAGAGTTCAATACTGTTCCAATTACATATATAATAATCATCAGGGTTTACTTTAAAAAACAAAACTAGCCCAAAAATCTAATTCTAAGCTGCCAGGTTGCTGTTGCCTCTCCTGGCCTCTAATAAACATGCTGGAGAATGCTTTTTCTTGTGAGGGAATTAATACCTCAGTCTGGTGCTGCTGCCTCCCCTGGAATCAGCTTTGGGCTATGTGTGTGCAAGGTGGCTCTAATAGCTTTTCACTGATATTTCCTGCTCTATAAGCTTTTGCTTCTTTATTTGATTAACATAAATAATAGCCAACTGAAAATATTTTATATATGTGTGTGTGTGTGTGTGTGCGCGCGCATAGTGATGGGGTACATCCGCCACAGTTTAATGCTAATTCTAGACCCCCCTGTTGGTGCTTTTTACCATCTGTGTCTGGCTAGGGTGCCATAACCCTTCCTTTTAGATATAGACATTTTCACTGTGTTACCCATGCCTTTGTTGTCTCAAAATTAGACTGCTGCTAGTGCTGCAACATGCTCTACATGTGGCTACATCTGAAAACCATTTGGAAACAAGCTGGTACAAAAAGCAGCAGCTTTCTTACTGAGCTGGGCATCTGGGTAAGCACTATAAGAGTGTGTGCTCTGACCTATAAATCCCTAAATGGCTCGTGACCCAACCTCCTGAGAGATTCCCTCACTCTTGTGCTATACCACCACAGCTATGGTAAGCAGAGATATTTGAGCTGGATCCCACTCATTATAATAGAGGTTGGTGCTTAAAGGGTGTTTTCTGTGGGTACGTCTACACTGCAGGCTTACTCTGTGCTTTTTTTTGTGTTTTTTTTTTTTTTTTTTTAACCCCAAACCGCTACCATCTACGCACAAAACCCTTAAACAGATGCTTATGTAAGCCTCGATTCTGTGGTTGCATGCATGACTGGCAGTATGGGTTAAAGTATGTTCACTTTAAGGCATGTTCCTACCTGCTCTCTTTGCAATAAAGATGCAACTTAAGTATGTGTAGCTGACCTTTGTTTAGATTGTCCTAGCTAGACCTCCAATGCCATCCCACAATTCCTGGGGCCTGTATGTTCCCGTCCTTCTACCTGCTCACTTCCTACTCGCCTTCTAAGTACTAGAAACTGTTGGCTGGTTTATAGACACCAGGCCAGCTTTTAATCCTTCATTCCATATAGCCTGCTTCATTTTCTGCACAGGGCTCTTGGTCCCCCATTTTGGTCAAAAATAGCCCAGATTTGGAGATCATCTAGGCATGCTGCAAAAGACATCTGTTTGGTAGGGTTTTTGGAGAAGCCTGAGAGTATGCTTCCCAGAGAGATGAAGGTGGTGGAAGGGAGCATTCCTGTAGGTCAAGGGTAGGCAACCTATGGCACACGTGCCGAATGCGGCACGCAAGCTGATTTTCAGTGGCACTCACACTACCCGGGTCCTGGCCACCGGTCCGGGGGGCTGTGCATTTTAATTTAATTTTAAATGAAGCTTCTTAAACATTTTAAAAACCTTATTTACTTAAAACAATAGTTTAGTTATATATTATAGACTTATAGAAAGAGACCTTCTAAAAACATTAATATGTATTACTGGCACGCGAAACCTTAAATCAGAGTGAATAAATGAAGACTCGGCACACCACTTCTGAAAGGTTGCTGACCCCTGCTGAAGGTGCTTGGTTGACATAATTCTAGTTTAAATTATTTTAATGCTGCCGGGGGGTTGCTGTAGTACTAATCAGTTATGTAAGGCTGCCTAGAGCCTTGTAATAGATACCTTATTATTTAAATCTAAATAAATATGCATATTTATATTTGCACATCTATGGTGCATGTGAGTGTGTCATTTATACACACACATTGTTCAGTGTGTATGTATGCATAACTATGGCCACAGCATTTTGTGCAACCAATCCTTTTAAATACTTTTTCCTGAATATCTTTTTAGACATTTTCTCCTTGATTTAATGAGGCACTAATCCTCATCCATTTTCTTCTAATGGTCCCAAATGGAAGCAGAAGAATAGGGATGGTGGTTCTTAACAAAATGAAACCAGAAAATGCTATAACATCCACAGGGTTGGTAGAAGCATCAAGAATATTTAGTAGTACTCCCTTTAGTACTCCTCAATGAGATTTTCTTTGGCGGCTGTTGTATTAGAGGCTGTTAGATTATCAAAAATTAATCTGCTAGTGTAGAACCAGTTATTGCTAAAGCAGTGGTTCTCAACCAGGGGTACATGTACCCTGGGGGGTACGCAGAGGTCTTCCAGGGGGTACATCAACTCGTCTGCCTAGTTTTAAAATAGGCTACATAAAAAGCACTAGCAAAGTCAGTACAAACTAAAATTTCATACAATTACTTGTTTATATTGCTCTATCTACCATACACTGAAATGTAAGTATAATATTTATATTCTGATTTATTTTATAATTACATGGTAAAAATGAGAAAGGAATCAATTTTTCAGTAGTACTGTGCTATATCACTTCTGTATTTTATGTCTGATTTTGTAAGCAAGTAGTTTAAGTGAGGTTAAAGTTGGGGTACACAAGACAAATCAGACTCCTGAAAGGGGTACAGTAGTGTAGTTTGCAAAGGTGGAGACACTATACCTCTGACTGCCAGAAACTAGGATTGGATGACAAGGGATGGATCACTCAAATTCACTTCTTGTGTTCATTCCCTCTGAAGCATCTGGCGCTGGCCAGGGTCAAAAGACTGGATACTAGATTAGAGGGACCATTGGTCTGATCCAGTATGGCCATTCTTATGTTCCTTTTAGGATGTGTTTAAGTGTGCTGCCCCCCCAAGCAACTCGGGACATTTGAGGACTCTATTTCTGAGACAACATTAATAGGATTGTTGACAGCATCACACAAAAGGCGCCTTTCTTCTTTTGTCCTGAACATTTTCATCCGACCATTTTGAGATGACATTAAAAAACCCTCTAGGAATCTCTTTCTCAAACGTGCCCTGTGCACTACAATGGCGAATTCAATGAGCTGGCTCTGGCCTAAGGCAGGGACCTCCCTTCTCCTCGCCCCCCTCCCCTCTGGGAATCGGCCCCTTCCGGCCCCCACAAAGAGCGCCCCGGGAAACAAACGAGCACTAGAGGGCGCTCGCGGGGCCCTCCGCCCACAGTGCGCGAGCTCCAGCTCAGCCGTCCGCAGCCCATTGCCCTGGCCCGCCCAGGGAGGGGCGGGTCCCCGGGACGCTCTAGCCGCGCGCTCTGTGGTGGGGCGGCCCGGCCGGGATGACGCGGCGGGCGGGTCCCGTGATGGCTGGTCGTGTCGCCCTCGCGCTGTCACTCGCTGCCGCCTCCCCGGCACCAGCTCGCGGCCGCCGAGCCCCCGCCATGGCCGAGGACGGGCACTTGGAGGCCTCGAGCGAAGGGTGAGCGCAGGGGGGCGGGCGGGGAGACGGCGCCACGGGCGGGGGCAGCAGCTGGGGGGACCCCCCCCGCGGCCTGTGTACACCTGCCAACCCGCATACACCCCCCCGCGCACCGCCCTGGAGCGGACCCTCACATCCCAGCTGCTGTAGTTTTTTTCTGTGTCACTTCCTCCATGTTCGTACTGCAAAACCACTGATGTCTTAGTTGCTACAGCAACTTCCTCCCTCCCGGTCTACTCACATCTCTCGTCTCCTCCCGCCCATACAAACTGCTGTTGCTAAACAATAATTTCCCCCTTCTGTCTCTGGCGCGCCTGTCGCTCCATCTCTCCACTGACTTCCACTTCCCTTCAGCATCAACTTAGAACACAACCCCTTTAAACCACTGTGCAAATTGGCCTGACCCATATTTCTGCTACTAGTCCTTCTCTTCCCAAGCAGCCCTTCAGAATGACTTAATCGTTGTCTTCACACTTTTTATAATACTGCACCTTGTGTTTGAAACTATCTTCCCCTCTATTGTAGTTTGTGTGCCAAACACCCACCTTGCCTCTCTCTAAAGGAGAGGGAGGTTTAAGGTAATCTTTTATTGGACTAACTTCTGTTGGAGAGGTTTTGAGTGAATAAAAGATATTACCTCACCCACCCTGTCTCCCTGATGCCCTGGGACCAACACAGCTATAACACCCTATAACATTCTTCTTAAAATACACAATCTATAAAGCCTCCAGTTGATGATTTACCAAGTGAGTCTTAAAATATCTGTGCTTCATCATCTCAAACTTGTTCAATGCATTGGCTCTAAACTGCATTAGTTGCTTAGCTTGAGCCTTTGGCGTATTAAGTGCTTCTTTGGTAGTGCTGAGTGCCCTCAACTTCTGTCGTCACACAGCACATTTCAGGATTGTGTTCTTAATATAAAGTCCTTGGGGTTGGAAAAAATGGTCTAAATTTTCATAAGGGATTATTGATTATGGGTGCCCAACATGACTTCTTTTAAAGGGGGTGTGATTTTCAGAAAGTGCTCAGCATCCACCCTCTGAAAATCAAACCCTTTTAAGGCCTTTCAGATTGGGCACCCAAAATCACTAGTCACTTTTGAAAATGAAAGCTTAAGACTCCTTTTTGTACATCAAAAAGTGTATTGACAATGGTGAAATGCTAGTGCTTTGAACAGTTAGCACAGAGTATTTGCATTACTGTATTCTTAATATTGGCCAGTCTTAAAGCTTGGTCATCCTTTCAAGGTGAAAAAGCCTGATTAGAGCTAGAGAAAACTTAAATTGTATGAACTAGTGAAATACACTAATTACTTTCAGATTTAAAATTGGCTTGGTAGAGAAATACCTACAAGCTATTAAAATAGCAGATTGGATGCCGTTCTAAATGACAGGTGACATATTAGGTGTATATAAAGGAAAAATCTGAAGTTTAATCTTTTTAAAACAAATACATCAGATAGTAATTCACCTAGTTACGCAACAAGTTCAACTAGTTGAAATCTGGCAACGTGAGCATTCTATGGGAGTGTAGTGATGATAGCATAGTAAAATCACTACAAAATATATTAATCAAAACATGCTAAATCATACAGCTGTAATCCATAGTCTAATCTGAAGATAAAACTAAATATACACCTCTACCCCGATATAATGCTGTCCTCAGGAGCCAAAAAATCTTACCGCGTTATAGGTGAAACCGCGTTATATCGAATTTGCTTTGATCCGCTGGAGTGCGCAGCCAGCCGCGCCCTCCGAGCACTGCTTTACCGCGTTATATCCAAATTCATGTTATATCCGGTCACATTATATCGGGGTAGAGGTGTATTTGGATCGTCAGTATGGAACAGAGTATCTAGAAATAGTTTGTCAGCGTTCTATATAAAATCACTAATTACGGCTCAGTTTGTATAAGTGTGGGGAAAAGTTTCAAGGATTGAAAACTGTTTTGTCTTTAAGATAAGTGGTAACTTTCTCTAAAATAACTTTGGGTGGTTTTTTTGGTGAATTTAGATGGAATGGCTTGCAGCAACTAGTTAAAACTAAGATTGCCTTGGAATAATATATAGAACTATTTTGTAGGAATCGTTGCAACTTCAATAGTCATAACTGTTTTTCCATTATCCTTTGAGACTTTTCTGAGTTTGGGTTTTCACTCGTGAGGCATGTTGTTAGAGATGATAGACTTTTTACAGTCTCAGAGTGAATGTAGTTTTAAAATCTGCATTGATGAATTCAGTAGGTTTGAACTCATGAAGCACTTCCAGTAAGACACTCAGGGTACTATACTGCATAACATTCATAATAATTTACTTGCTCTTTAAAGAGACACTGTCAACTGCAGATTTGTCTGAGTGTTTGGCTGACTGTCACACCTTGACATTTAAAACAAAGCATAAGCAGGTAGGGTAATGAAATCATGCTCCAAATATCTGCACAGTTATAGTTCTTTTGCTCAGTTTTTCTTTAACTTAGAAATGAAGATTCAAAACAAATCAACTCAAAACAGTGTCACTGCCCTGCAGGGTCTTGTTTTAGCCCTTGTCACTCACCATCAGCTGAGGCTTGCTCCCTCCCTCTCTCCCTTAAAATGTCTTCCTCTCAGGCCTTCTACCATGACCCAGGGTGTCTCCTGTCTGCTCCCCTCCCTAAAAGGCTATAAGACTTTTATGTAGAGTCTTGTAAGTCATATGACTAGCAGAGGCTTCCTGTTTTAAAGGGAACAAGGGCAAAAACAGGTGCACTGGGATGTACACTTTTACCCCAATGCCCAGTGTGCTGTGTTACACACAGACTAAAGGAAATTTCCCACTTCTTTTCCAGTTTGGCCTTTTGCATTGATAAGAGTTTGTGTATAGGCAGTTGCCTTTCTATGTCGATCATCGCTTTCACTCTCTGGTCTCATGCACTTGCATCACATTCATGTATTGTCCTCAAAACTCAGAAATAAGCTTTATTTCAGCCACTTTAGAAACGTGTATTTATGAAGTTTCCCTGCCCCTGCATAGATTTGGGAAGGGGAGCACTGTGGCTTTCACCGGGAAGGTGTCTTTTCTCCCCTCTCTTCTGGGTGGAGCCACAATGGAGACACTGTTAGGAGGCTGTCTCCTCACCCCTCTGCTGCTGAAGGAGAGGAGAGTTGATCATGATAGTGTATTCCCCATCCCTGCAGATGGAGGCCTCCCATCTAGAAACTTCCCTGGGAGGAATGATTAATGACAATAGGCACTAGAACAGTGATATCCAGCCTTCTCAGTCTGAGGGGTGAACAGATTATTTGCTGCAGTCAATACTGGAGATGGATTCTCTCTGTACTGCTCTCCTTGTACCACTTAAGCCAGTGCTAGAGATTCTCCTTTTTGGGGGGGACTTCCTAGGCTGCTTTAGCCTATGCAGGGGTTGAGGCAGAGAACCAGGGATCCATAAGGAGTAGCTGATTCTTGGTTTCTCTTTTTCCTCTCTCCTGAGCTGCCCTTAATGGCAGTGTGGTGGAGGGGAACTGAGCCATCCTTGCTTAGATGTTCCTCTAGGCCAGGGGTGGCCAACCTGAGCCTGAGAAGGAGCCAGAATTTACCAATGTACGTTGCCAAAGAGCCACAGTAATACGGCAGCAGCTCCCCAACCCCGCTTCCAGCGCCTCCCACCCACTGGCAGCCTTGCCGATCAGCGCCTCCCCCTCCCTCCCCGCACCTCCCGATCAGCTGTTTCGTGGCATGCAGGAGGCTCGGGGGGAAGGGAAGGAGCGAGGGCATGGCAGGCTCAGGGGATGGGGCGGGGAGGGGTGGAGTGGGGGTAGGGCCTGTGGCAGAGCCAGGGGGTTGAGCAGTGAGCAACCCTTCCCGCCCCCCCGCCCCATTGGAAAGTTGGCACCTGTAGCTCCAGCCCCAAAGTCAGTGCCTATACAAGGAGCAACATATTAACTTCTGAAGAGCCGTATGTGGCTCCGGAGCCACAGGTTGACCATCCCTGCTCTAGGCTCAGGCAGAGCCAATCAAACTTCTATCCTGCTCTCCTTCAGGCTTGCAGAGAAGCAGTCAACAGAGCAGCTGAATTGCTCAACAGTTACAGGAGGAAAGGCACAGCAGCTGCTAAGAGCATTCCGGGCTCACATCACAGCTCCTCCTTGAGCTGTAAAAGGTGAACCAGTGGGAGGCAGTACTCAATACCTCCTCCTTGTCATGATGAGTTTAATTTGAACACCCAGTTTAAAAATTGCAGGGCATGTTACACTTTGAATTTGTAATCAAATATTCTATTCTTAAGTCTCCCTCAAGTACTGCAAGGTAGACACTGCTGGGCTAGAGGTTTTCTCCTCCCTCCCTTCTCAAGCCCAATCATGAGCTTAGTGGACGAAGGGCAACCCCCAGACTCCCCCACAGGGTTGCAGGAGGCATAAAGAGTAGACTGCCCTTCTTCCCCCACCCTTCAGTAATTCTCTAGTGAGTGCAGTGGTAAAAAGAAAATTCACATACTTTCAAAAATTTGTCAATTTAAAAAAAAAATCCAAGTCGAGTATGTCTTTAATAATCAAACATACCACACTCAGTACTCCGTGCTAGCATGGTACGTGCGTGCACAGAGCTATAAATTCAGGGTGAGATTACAGGGATTGCATACTTTGAAAGTCCTACCCATTACTTCAGGTGGAGGATCCTGTTCTCCATGACTAGTTGGCTGAGTCCCTGCTGAGTTGTGGCAGAAATCCTCCACCAGCTTGCTTGGCCAGTCAATCATCTGGGCTCTAGTCCCTTTCTTCTCAAAGTGTCCGGGTGGGGAGAGGAAGATGATAGTCATCTGTTAACTCTTGAATCGTATTTAAAATCTTGAATAACAGGGGTAATAGATATCTGGGAGGTAGTTTTGGGAAGTCTGCTACTGCCACCCATACTGTAGATAAAATGAAGACTTCTGTCCACAGGGCTATCGGCCTAGCACAAACCTTTCACTAGTTCTACATTCACAATTCATTCTGTGCTCAGTAGGGCCATTTATGCAGTGAGG